TCTTTTTTTCATTCATCAAAATTACACTTTATTCGATTTTTCAATTTTTTTTTCTTTTTTTCATTCATCAAAATTACAATTATTCGATTTTTCAATTTTATCGTTTAAACTTAAAAATCTTCGTGAAAATAAATTTTCTTCAACTTTTGTTGCGAAAAAAAAATTCATAATTCTTCTGTTTTTTTTTTTTTTTTAATGTCGTATGTAATATTTAAATGCTTGTCCAAATTTTCAAAGCATCTCAAAAGACCCTTTTCCTCGAGTTTCAAAGTTGTTAAACGAAAGATACTTACGTGGTTGGCTTTGTCTTTTCTCTTACATTGTTCTTGAATGCTCGAAAGAGTGCCATTGTTATTTTTCTTTGATCTCTTTTCATATCGTAATCCTTCTCGTGTTCAAAGTTCGTGAGTGGAATTATAATAATGTTTTAATAATCCACATGATATATCTTATGACACTTCTTATATCTGTCAAAATCAGCTGATCACTTTAGTGTGTTTATTCAAATATGAATGAACACACAAATACAATTTTATTTATTCATATCATTTTTTAATTATCATCATTATCATCGTCATCGCGATATAATTGTTATTATTATAATTTTTATTGATATATTTTCTGTGCAGACATATACCAAAAGCAAAGGCAACAACAATGGCGGAAACACCAGAATTAAAACGTATTGCAGAGAATACAAAAATTCAAAGCAACGTTAAATATCATGCAGAGTTCGAGAAGGCAAAGGGAAAGTTCACGCAAGTCGCGGATGATCCAGAGACGTTGAGAATCAAGCAGAACAGCAAAATCATTTCAAACGTTGCTTACCATGGTGAACTTCAAAAGAAAGCGATCATGGAACAGAAGAGGACCATGACCGGAGAAAATGGCGAACAAATAGGTCAGTTCTCTCTCTCTTTCTTTTAAATTTAAATTAAATTTCAAAGTCAAATCACAAATCATTTGAATATCCAATACAAAAAAAAAGACAATTTTTATCATAAGAAACACAGAACAAATTCATAAAATACGTAAGCTAATGGTGTCCTTGAGTAAACGTTTGTCTAGTTTGCTTTATTTTCTTCCCCTTTACGTGTCTAAATCTAATTATTTGTTAGCTTTTCGTTGCTTTTTTCTATGCTTTTTAGAGTACGTAGAGTATACGGACGGTACAATCGCACCTGCCTCGAGCAGTTACTTAAATGCGAATCCACCAGTTACGAGAACGGCAAACTCGCCTGTACAAAGGACACCAGGTAGGATCGCTGATTACGATCCCCTTAGTGAAGCAAGGCCGAGTCCTTATTCCGCTAGGCAAGCCGCAACCACGGTCATTTATACCAGTGACAAAGGTCCAGGTAAGTTTCTCTTCCTTGATCTTGCTTTATAACGCATTACATTTATTATACATATGTACTTTTTATATAAATATTTGTATATACGCCGCGTATACGTTTTTTCATTATTCTACATCATTTTATATAACACCCTTTTTAAATATAATCAGGTACTTTGGTTAATTGTTTATGTAGTCTTTTGTCTTCGCAATATTTTTATTTCAATTAGATTACTATTTTTATTTTATATTTATATTTATATTTAATATAGAAAAAATTAGCAATATATATATTTTTATTTTGCATTATAAGATAATTTTATTTTAATTGAATTACTATTTTTTGATTTATAAATAATAAAAAAATGAATATCTATACATTTCTATTTTGCATTTTAGGAGATTAAAATAAAAAAATTATAATATTATTGTTTTTTATTTACACAAATTTGCAGTAGCATTACATAAAGAATATGAGTTGCTCGAAATTTCTATATCCAAATTAGATTATATAATTTTTATTTATAATTAACAATAAATAATAATAATAATTTCAAGTATAATTTCAAAACCTATTAGGCCACGAGTAAAATATAAAAATAAGAAAAAAATAGCTCGTGACTTGGCTTAGTCATAGATTTAGAAAATGAACATTTCATTAGACGTTATCATCATCATCATCATCATCATCATCATCATCATCATCATCATCGTCGTCGTCGTCGTCGTCGTCGTTTTGTTACGTTCACATACAACATCTGTCCAACGAGATCTATCCGAAAGTTCCTAAGCGTAACCAGCAACAGCACCTTCGTTGTCAAGTTGAAGAATTTTTTTTCGTGCTACGTCATCCTTATATTTATTATATTACTAAACCTAATTATAATTTATTTTATCATTAATATTATTTTTATATTAAGAAGAAAATTTGTTCATGTTGTGCAGTGACGAATCCACCAACACGAAAAATTGGTTCCGTAGCGGATATCGACCCGGTGAACGACTATTATGGATCGCTCACGCCTCCGACGAATAATAATCACGTGATACAGCATCATCCACCACCACCGCCACCTACCAACGTCGGAGTAAGTTATAATTTTACGCGCCAATTTAGAACTCTCATTTTATATTATCTTATCTTTTTAATGTATAATAATTAAGAAAAATTATATATATATATATATATATTTTTAATACTTCATTTGCAATGATCAAATGCTATTTTAAAATCTTACACCTATTTATGTCTATTGTTTATAAGTTTTATTTTTATTAGGAAGTTATTACTATTATTGTTATTTTATGTTCTTTAAAGTTTTTAAATTATTTTTTTTTTATAATTATGTTGTAGTTATTATTAGTAAAGAATGATATAAAAAAGTATAACTATAATTATTTATATACTATACTATATCAAGGCTTTTTAAAGTATGGAGTTACTGTCTCGTATAAGGCCACGTAATTAAATTTTAGGGCGTAGAACTGTTTTCATAGTTTTAATATGTGGTAAAATTATATTTGTAACCATACCAACGTATTGTTTTTAAGAGAGAATTTATTTTTTATATTATTTATTATAAATATATCAGCCAAGTGGAAAAGTTTGAAATATCCTGCTATTTAATATACTAATAATTGAAGACCACCCTATAACTTTAACTAAAATTTTAAGTATTTTAACCCTTTGCCCTCCGAGCAATTTTTAACATGACGTTTTAATAATTCCGGGTCATTTTGACCATGACCACTTTCAACTTCCGTTTTTTCGCGTTTTACACTACAGATAAAAATACGATCGAAAGAAATAGAGCAAGCTCGGTCACAAGACCGATTATACACACTAAGCGTGTGCCGAAACATTTTCCTACCCGTATAAAGATACAATGTTGCCTCTAAATGCCGATGTCGCTGCAGCGGCGACAACGGAGTGCAAAGGGTTAAAACAAAAAGAAAAACATTTTCTAGTTATTAAATATTTGATAATATTTTCAGAGAGTATATAGAGCGTTGTACGATTACGAGGCACAAGATTTGGACGAAGTAAGCTTCTGTGATGGTGACCTGATTGTCAACTGTACAGCCATTGATGAAGGATGGATGACAGGTTTGGTACAACGTACAGGTCGGCATGGTATGTTGCCAGCGAACTATGTCGAGCCAGCGCAGATCTAAGGGCCATTATTTTTTGAACGATGAATCTTAGCAGCTGCCATCATCTCAACTTCTCCTTTTGTTGTCACCGTTCATTTGATCGCAACTTTTCCATTTCAATCGAATGAAACGCTACTGGTGTATACACTGATGGTGTGCATGTATGTTTGTGTGAGAGAAAGAGAAATAGAGAGAGAGAGAAATATTCTTTGCTTGCGAGAGAAATCGTCTGCTTTTTTTTCTCCTAAATTGTTTTATGTACAATGCTCTCCTTGCCGTGTTAGAAAAAAGTTAAACAATATTTTCAAACAGGACACCACTCTCGAGATGATCGTCTTGTTCGCACGGGATTGTTGTTTCTTTAGTTCTTTTTTTAATATATATATATTTTTTTAAATTGAAAAGAATAAAAATGAGATAACGGATAAATAATTTTTGTCATCGAAAGGCTGCTTCTTCTCGTGTTGTTGTTGACGTTGTTGCGTTATCATTATCGGTGTCATTTTTAGACGCACTGCTATACTTTTTTCTTCTTATCTCGAAGCGTTCATAGTTTCTTTTTTCTTTTTTACATATCGCGTTTTTTGCATTTCGCGTAACAAACGTTATCTATATATATATATATATATATATATATATATAGACTTCTAATATAATAGAGATATAGTAATAGCTATATATGATTACGATTTGGGGACCAAGCATTTTATAATGAATTTTACAAATAAATATATACATATATTTTTTTGTTCTCGAGCGAACCGAGGAATATAATAATAGTTACAACAGATTGCTTTACTTTCCTGTATTTGTTATAGAAAATAATTCTATCTTCATTCGCTCGTTGCTGGCGCAAACGCGACTTTACACGACTAAATTATAAGATTCTAATTCAACAAATGAACAATCAAAAATTCTAAACATTACCTTTCTTCAATAAGATTTATTACACACATTCCTTAATTGCTGAAGGATTCTCATTATTTTTATTTGTATTTCTTATAGATTATGAGATCCTTATTGCATACTGCATTTGTAAACTGTGACCGTAAAGCTTTTAGATGGACTAAGATTTCTTAAATGATTTTGACACGTTGCCTACCATATTAGTTCTACGTGTTTTGCTGTAGAGGCCTACAATTCTGAGATTAGATAGAAAAAAGTAATGCCAGTTATAAATGATCTTCATGGTCCCATTAATAAGACAAACACTGGTCACGGGTGACCGACAAGGATGTCAACGTGTTAAATATTAATTACTTTGTTTAGACACTTTTTAGATAAACCTTTTTTATACATTGTACAACTACAAGTTTATTTCATTAAATTGTGAGTTTAAATACGAGTCTAATGTATTTTTTAGTCGAATAATTAAGTTTTATATTCATCTATAAACTTTTGGTTCACCTAGAAACTTTTAGTTTGCATTTTATACTTACTTTGTATAAAAAAGAAATAATTTAAAAAATGAACTCTGTGATTGTTGTGCCTTTGTCGTCGTTGTCGCCATGTTTCTTCTTCCAATCTAATTTTTAACAATCTTGTCTCTTTTACGAAGAAATACGAATGAAAAGAATCTATTTATTTAACTCATATATGTGCCTTATATATATCGACACACATTTATACATAGAAATTTGTAGGATTCTTAATTTGATCCATTTCTTCGAGAATATTTGATACCCTATACGTATACATATTACTACTACATAGAAAATAATAATAATAATAAATATTATTATTATTGTTGCCTTTATATTCTATAGAGAAGATTTATCGTATGTATTTTATTATACGATCGAGCAATTGCTATTAAAAGAGACCACGAACATTTTAGTGTCTATTAATAATTAATCGAGTTTAATTAATTACATAGATATAAATATAGCAAGCGAGAACACGTTAAATTCGTTTTTAAAGAACAATATAAAAGATAACAATCGTTAAAAATGTTATCGCTGATTCTTTTTCTTAATTTCATTTTTTTCTTTTATTTTTATTATTTCTTTTTTTAATTAATTAATAATATTAACCGACCCTATCTATTTGATAGTTTTTAAGGTCCATTCGCAATCCTGCGGTCCCGTTTGTTGTAAGCTTTGCACAAGTCTTTTTTTCTAAATCATTTTATTTTCATTTTTTTCTTTAATAAACTTTTTTTCTTTCCCTTTTATTTTATGTTATTTTCAATTTTGTTTGTTTTAAATACGTATCATCTCGCAACGGCAGGGTATTTGAGGATACCACTTACCATTTTATGGAATATTATAAATAAATTAATGTTTATTACAGGGTGAATTTAACATTTTTAGATGATTTGAACAATTAATTATTCTTTTTCAATATTTTTTAAACCTTTTTTTTTACAATTTAAATAAAACTATCCAGAGAGAGTCTCGAAAAAGTCTAATTTATTTATATTTTTAAATTATCTAAAAACTTTAAGCTCAACCTGTATACATAAATTTAATAAACGCATTTAAAATGCGTTTTGTTAAATAATTTGTTTTTCTTTATAAAATTTCTTTTCTTTCTTATTATTTTTAATTTTGTTTTGTAGTGTCTTCGAACAAATTAATAAATGAATGAAATAAATCATCGATATTTCCGAACAACAAAAAATACGCATAAGAATTATTGTTATTCGTTTAAAGTAATAATTACGGGATTCCTCAGAAAATAAATAAATAAATAAATAAATATATTAATAATATCAACATTTACCTGAATAGATTGATTTTAGTTTTTAGGGCCGACGTTGTTGTTGTTGATAGTGTTTGTAAGTTTATCCATAAAAAAAATGTAAAAAAAAAGTTTAGAAAAAGTAAAAAAATATATATATATAATTTACGCAATGCGTAAAAAGAAGTAGCAATTGAATGGAAAAAATTGTTATACTTTGAATAAAATGCACTTTTGCAATGTCGTCGTCGGCCGACTTCGTGATATGCGAAGAGAGAATCATATTTCTTGGCGATATGTATGTATTATGTTACTCAGCAATACTTTAATTGTGAAAAAAAGGAATAAAAAATAAAAGAATAAATTATTTTTTTTGCTGATAAGATGATAATGAGGATATATATATATATATAATTACAAACTCGAAGTATACAGAAATATATTATGTTAGCGTTGTATTTAGACAGATAATATTATATTATGATATGAAAATCATAAATAATGAATATGTATGTTATGTAAATATTTCTTGTTTCTTTTCATTTGATATATTGTAAACCAGTCTCATCATCCCATTTTCCCTTTCTCAAATATTCGCCGATTAATTTTGATTATATCAAGACGAATATGAGACAGTATGAGAGTATGCCGAGATAAAAAATATGTGCCCTTTTTATTAATTATAATAATAATAATAATAACAATAATTGTGTAAACGTAATTAAATAAAAATGCATATGCTGTAAAAGTATGCTAAAAAGTTCTAAATTACTTTAAAAATCAATTATGTTGTCTTAAATATATTTTTTAATTCCATTTTTATGCAACATTGTAAGACTCTAAGTTTTGTTTATTATTTACAACCCTAATCATAATCCTAAAAGATCTATAAAAAAAAAATAATTTTTAAAATCACCTAAGAATTTTTGGCCTATTCTTGAATCAAATTTGTGCATTTTGTCTCACAACGGGAGAGCCAGATTAATAGGATATTCGTTTTCTTAAAATTTGACACCGTGGAAATCTCATTGAGCTTTATAGTTTTCTACAGCGTGTTAGACACAAAACTTTTCAACTCATCGTCATTCATGTAACTCGGAACTTTTCAATCTACCCATGTACATTTTTTCTAGAATTTCTTTTTTTTTTAAATTATACTATAATCAATTAATTTTTCCATTTAGCACAAAATAAACTGGTATATAAGAATGTATGTGAATTTTCTTCTTTCATTTTCTTAGAAAAGGTTGAGTATTGAGTTTTACTGCTGGTACATTATATGGTCCTGTAAGATCTCTAAAAAATAGTAAAATTAAAAAAAAAATCATTGTCCTATAACCTTTTTGTCAGTAATTTTTTTATTATATTGGATTCCATAAAAATATTATGATAAAAAGCAAAGAAATGTGTAGTTTTTCTTCTTTTTGTTTTATATTTTTTGTTTTTAAATTATCAAACTTCACTCTAGCATTCCAAGTATATTTTTGTTTCTTTGCACACATTGTCATGTATTTTGCTCTTTACGATGAATTCAGCCGATTGTACAAAAATTGCAGCACATAGCCTTATTTCATTGGAAAGATTTAAAAGCGATACATGAAATTTGTTTAAAAATTATGTAGGTTTAGAATAGAGAGAGAGAGAGAGATTTCTTAATGAACGATTACAACTGTAACTTAAGATTAAGAGTGGCGAGATATTGTTTCTCGTTTATAAAACATAATTACTGCAATATAGTTGACAATCGCGAAATTAATTACCAGTTATCATAAACTATTAATGATGATGATGATGATGATTATTATTATTATTATTATTATTATTATATAATATTGTTCATCGGGATGTGTTTGTGTATGTGGGTATGAAAGATTATTATTATCATCATCTTTATTATTATTTATATTTATGTAAATATATTGAGACGATTGTCAACGTTAATTAATTACAAACAATGTTTTCGATATTTTTTTTCATTTTTTTTCATTTTCTTTTTTTTTCATAAGCGTACAAATTTTTACACGAATTGAATTTCATTAAAAGCTTACACTCATCTCTTACAATCATAAACACATTTTATTTGTTTTTTCTCTTTTTTTTTTTTTTTTGCACTTCGGTTTCATTGATGCACAATTTACGTGTTTCCTTATCAATTTTTTTGCTTAATTTTTTTTCTATACTTTATACAAGGTTTCTTTATTGTTTAAAGAACGAAATTCTTACAAATTCGTATATTGAAATGGTTTTTGTTAAGATTGCATTTAAAAAAAACATTAATGTATAACTGAATTGTTAAATGACGCTTATTTATTTATTTATTTTATTTTCCTTAGTGTAATTATGTATACGGGCGACTATGTACTTGTGTGTGTATTTTTTTCGAACACGTTTTGTATAAAAAAGCTATATAGGAATGAAATTATTTAAAGACTTTAGGAACGATACGTATATTAATCACGAATACTGATGAAAAAGCTTATTACAATAATGTGAAGCGCGATTTGTTTTTTTTTTTTTATTCTTTTACAATATTTTTTATCAAGCATATTCACGCGAAAAAAAAAAATAAAAAAGAAGAAAATTATTAAACGGGGATAATAATCGAGTATTTGCACATTTGCACAATCATACGCGAGAGATTTCTAATTGGCGATAAAAAAATCAATGAGAAAATATAAGAAATAGAAAATAAAAATAATTTCGTTAATTAATCGAGCTCACGCTTGGTTTAATATCACGCTCGATATGATTTTTTTTAATTTGAAGAAGAAAAAATTGTTCTTATTTAACATACATGTGTATATTTTTAACCCTTATAAATACATATATTTTTCGTATAATTATATTTTATTAGGAAATAATAATTTGTAAAAAATGTTTGAATAATGAAATTCAAGCATGGAATATTTTTAAATTTAATATTTAATAATATACTTAGTATTATTTTAAATTTGATTTAATTTATAATCAAGTAATAGAGTAAATTTTACAAAAATTGATAGAATAAAATTAAAAATTGATATATCACATAAGGGTTAAATATATACATATAATTATGCATGTGTCAAAGTTGAAATGAATTTGAACGTGTCAGCGAACTTATCAACGTGCTCTGGCAGTGGTCACATATTTCTTTTAATCATAGCGTGAATAACAATTTTATTGATCGTTGTTCCCCCGCCTTTTCCCGTCAGTGTGTTAACCCCATTTTTCAATTTTCTTTACTTTCAATATAGACCAGCTCGTAAAGCGTTAAAGCAGCAATTCGTTAATATCCGGCGAGGTCGGCAAACGTCTGATCCATTTCGTCGGCGATGGCTTTGTACTTACAGCGCTCGTTTACCAGGACGTCTGTAATGGAGGGAACGTGCTATTAGTTTGGATGACTGTTAGTATTATAGGTACACATTTTAGTGTTTTTAATATTATTAATTTATGTGAGAGAAAAAGAGAGAGATTATTAGTTAGTATACCTTGTATTATTAGATTTTTAATTTTGGATAATAGTGTTCGAAGAGGATAGGTTAATTATTATTAATAAAAATAATAAATAATTTAGGATAAAAATGATATTCAAAATTATGAGAAATTTTCGACCAGTAACGACTGTTTATTTAGTTTCTTTTTTATTAATTATTAAGGTCAACTTATTATATGTAAGGATTAATATTAATTGTTTCAAATAACTTATTTCTGATCTTTTTTGATTGCCTGAACAGTTTGTAACAATTTTAAATTTCACGCTGACAAGATTCGAGCAGACTCCACGAGATGGCGCTGCTGATATTGAATGATCGTTCAGCGCAAAATTATGAATGTAGAATGTGTGAAAGATTGTAAAAATATTTAAAAAGAAAAAAGACCCAAAATTAACGCGAAACGTATTTATATAATATACAACAATTAGACAGTGTTACATATAGTAAAATTAATTATGTTATACATCGTGTGTATGTGCATTTAGATATTTAAATATGTTTATATATATCTTTTTTAGTTCTTGTTGTTGTATGTATAATAGCAACCAGCCCGCGCCGTGAAAAAGGGCTAAACGACGATCACGATATAACGTCTTGTATCTTCTTTTGAATTTGATGTTTCATTAATCGAAATTCGACAGCAGGGGTTGACAGAAGAAAGTGTCAAAAAGGAAGTCGAATTTAACCAACCAATTCGGTGAAGGTGAGATCCAAATCGTCGCAAATATATTTGTACTTCTCTTTCTCGTGGACGAGCTCGTCTGAAATGAATAGGAATTATTTGAGAAAAACACAAAAAATATTTTACTTTTATTTAATATACTAAATGATTTCTTTTTTTTTTTTAAATAGGACTCAGAAATAGATTTTCATTTCATTCTTCAAATATGAAGTAATCGAACAAATTAACGACATCATTGTTCCCTTATATATTTATTACTATGAATGTATGATTAATATGCATGTGTAAAATTTGCAAAGCTTTAGTAAGTTTCATGATTGGTGTGTTCAAAATTCGATTTTTGAATTAAAAAAATATAATAATCAGTGCGTGTTCTGTAATTGTAAAAATTTAATAATTAAAATTAAAAAAGAAAATTGAAAGAAAAGTAATAAAGTTAGTGTTAAATTGGTATGTTTAATTTTTTAATGTTTGTTTTTTTAATAACGAAGCAATTGTTGTGACGTTAAGAAGCGTTAGATCTTTAATAAACTTACGGAATACGTGTTAAAAGAGCAAGCGAGACTGTAAAAAAGATTTTTTTTTATATTGTTTTTTTGGTTGAAGAAGCGTTAGAAGGGTGGTTAGTGGCGAATTAGACGCCGTAGAGTTCGAAAAATGCATTATCCAGTCCATCACCAATCTCCTTGAATTTCTCCTTCTCTACCACCATCTCATCTGCAAGCATTAGCAATGTTAATTTGGGAGGAAAAAGTATTATTATTATTTCTTTTTCAACTAATGATATATGAACTTTATAAAAAAAAAAACTATAATTAATATCTTTCTATTACTTTTGTTAAGTGTTGCTAAGCGTATGAAATTATTATTTTTTTTTGTTAACTAGATTATATAAATCAGGGCTTTTCAACGCAATCCCATGTGGGGTCGTGTATCTAGATTCGGTGGTTATAGTAATTTTAGCAGAACTAAACAATTTCTGGACTCGCAATGACCAGAAATTATAATTATTCAAAACTACTTCAGCAATATTACATTTAAATAATATTCTCTTGGTAAAGGGGGGTCGTCAATTGTAGAATTTTGAAAAGCCTTGATATAAATTATAGTGATTATATAAGGTTGGTTAAATAAATTTCGAAATAATTTTACAAATTAATTACTCTCCTTTTGGAGATCTGTATTTGTAATTAATTTTTAAAATTATCTAGAAATTATTTCACACAGTGTATATAAATAAAATAAACATTATATAAATTGTTTCATTTTTATTTTATCAAATAAAAAAATTCGAGGTAAAAGGTAATGGTAGGTAAGAGAAAGAGTACGAGAAACACTGAATAAAATGATACAAAAAGAAAAAGAAAGAAAAAACATTCGTCGTATTCCTTCTCTTAATATTTATCGGAAAATGTTAATTAGCAAAAAACAACAAGCAGGATAGTACTTACTCATTAAACGATGATAACTTCTCTCTAGTTCACTTCTCTTCGTATTTGTACGACATGCAAGATCACAATGAGGGTGGTTTTTTCTTTTTTTTTAAACAAACAGGCAGGCGCAGCAAATTATTAAATATTTATATTTAAGTATATAAATTACACGCGTAATCAGTCCTAACTGATTTTCATTTACGCTTAAAATTTTATTTTATTTTATTATTTTATTAAATAGTATATATATATATATTATTTTCTTCAATTCAATGTTAATTCACGTCGATAGTGAACAAAAGTTAGAAGCAAAAAAAAGAAATTAAAATTAAAAAGAAAAAACGCTTTTTAAAATCAGACGATAAAGAAAAGAAAAAAAAATAGAGAGACAACAACAAACTACACACACACATTCGGGTTTTTCAAAATTAAAATATATATTATAAACAGTTTTTATATATATATATATATAATAATAGCAATATATATGTATATGTATATAATAATAATCATTATTATTACAATGTGTTATTAGAGTGTTATTATTATCATTCCATTCGTTTATTTTATTTATTATTATTATTATTATTATTATTATTATTATTAAGTAAATTAATAAACTAAAAACTCATATCTTTCGTAAATTCAACATTTTAATTTGCATTTCCCTTTCGTTCGTTTATTTGTTTCTTTCATGACTATATTATTATTATAATCGTTTTTTGTATTTTTAATGTCTTTTTAAACATTCTCTTCGCAACTTATAGGAGTTTAAAAAGTCGGGGAGGGGAGAGAAGAGAAGGAGGAGAAAGAAGAGGCTTCGTATTTAAGTGAAAAAATGAATAAAAGAGAAAAAGAAAGAGAGAGTTACGATAGTAAATGGAGAAGTTTGGTGTTCATCATGATGTAAAATAGTTAATATAAACAAAATTAAAATTATACGTTATACTAAATATTACGATTCGCATTATTCGCGATTGTGCTTTTGCATTGTAAAATAAACAAAGGAAGTTTTTTCTGTTTCTATTCTTTTGTTTTTTCATTCTCGCGGTGATTTATTTATATAATTAATTAAGTAATTAATTTATTATAGCGGTTCGATCCTCTCGCGCTCAATGTTTATATCTTTTTTCATTTAGTTTCTTTTTTTAATTTTATATTATTTTTTATAATATCACGAAAAAAAATCGCGCAGGGAAGAAAGTTTAATTTGATTGATGACTGATAATGGGGAATCATTAAACGTGAATCGAAAATATAGAGATTTCTTTTTAATGACGATAACAATAGTAATAGTAATAGTAATAGTAATAGTAATAGTAATAGTAATAGTAATAGTAATAGTAATAGTAATAATAATAATAATAATAATAATAATAATAATAATAATAATAATAATAATAATGAAATATAATGAAGATTTAAATAATTTTTAATAANAGGTGATGACGGTTAAGGGGTGGTTTTCTTTTGGGGAGGTGGTTTAGGAGGAAATATATTTCTTTTTTTTCCCTTTTTTTTTAATGAAGAGAGGAATAATAATAATAATAATAATAATAATAATAATAATAATAATAATAATAATAATGAAATATAATGAAGATTTAAATAATTTTTAATAAATTTTTTAATAAATGAATACGGAAAATAGGTGATGACGGTTAAGGGGTGGTTTTCTTTTGGGGAGGTGGTTTAGGAGGAAATATATTTCTTTTTTTTCCCTTTTTTTTTAATGAAGAGAGGACGAAACTGCTTGACGTTTTGGCAGTGGACGTCTCGTAATTAAATGCACACTTTTTATTTTAAATAACTCATTGTCGTTAATGAAAGAGAAAAAAAAAGAAAGAAAGAGAAAGGGTGGGTGGGTGGTATATTTCGAAGGTAAGAGAAAAAGGAAAGAGAATAGTCGTGCGAAATTTTTTCTTCTTTCTCTTTCTCTCTTACCTTTTTCTTTATCGAATTGAATAAAAAAAAAAATTTAAGAGGGAAGAATAAAAAATAAATAAAAAAAAAATCAAGGTCCCCGAGAGAAACGAGCCCCGAGAGGAATGTAAGTATTATTATATTTATATTAATTATTCATCTATCTTCATAACGAGGAATGTACCGACAAGGAAAAAAATGAAGAGAGAGAGAGAGAGAGAGAGAGAGAGAAAGAAAGAGCAGCACACACACACCTAATGTTTATACAGGGTTGTGTTAAATCCCATAAGTATCCTTGTTTATACCAAAAGTTACTACGTAATTTTTTGGACAACGTCAATTATTTGTTTGTATTTCTTTGTTAAACAACTTTTTAGGCTTGTAATTAGGCTTGTTTGTAGTTTAACAATATATGAAGATATAACAAAAAAATGAACACAAAATTTAGAAAGATAATAATCGGTTTTTTATTTAGTAACTTTTGATCCATCAAGGAACTTTAAAGTTAAAACCCTCGTATTAAACATCTCTACATAGCCGTAATAATTTTACCATCATGAATATTATTATCATTATCATTATCATCATCATCATCATCATCATCATCATCATCATCATCATCATCATCATCATCATCATCATCATCATCAT